CCAATACCCTATTCCCCTGGTTGCTCGAACCTTCGTCCGAGCCTGGATTCCCACCATGCCAACAACATTCTGGAGAGGCTCCACGACATCAGTTCCCAGACCTCTCCAAGGCACGGTTCTGATCCAACTCTAATTATGGGCGGAGACCCTGGCACAATTCAATCCAGCTCCATATCTGGCATTGCAGAGAATGATTTTCCAGGCGATGAATACGAAGATATGGGGCCGGGGAGCAGTCAAACTGCATCGAGCCCTTGGCTTAGCGGTTTGGGAACCTTTTCGTCGCTGAGATCTCGCTTAAAATTGCCCTCTACCTTGTCATCTCGTTCAAAGGGGAGTGGATTAAGGACAAACAAATGTAATATGAAATCTTTCTCAAAAGAGAACGAGGGGTTGGCTGATCAGATGGAATTTGGCAGTGCTCTTGAGAGCAATACTAAGCTGGAAAGGTCCATGTGGAATGAGGAGGAAGATGTTCAAACTTGGCAAACAGTTGCAGAAAGCCAGCAGTTCAGAAGTGATATGAGATCTGATTTCTCAAAAGTGGATACAGGTAGTAGTTTAGCTAATTTCTCCAGTTATGGAAGCCTTGCAAATGCGGAGACGCAACCTTGGTCCACGTTGCGAATACTCGGGAAACATCAAGATTTCCCCGGCTACCCTAGCAACCCAGTCACGGTTCATCCAGGACAAAGAGACTCCTCCCATCCACACAGACTCCATCAAAGGCCAACGACTGGAAATGATATCCTGCCCCCAGTTTATCAATATGCAGGTAAACCCGTTGGTAACGTGAACCATCTGTCAAACCCAATGCCAGTGCTCAAGGCATCAACTGAAGTGTGTCCTGCACCTCTTATTGTCTCCACCTCACAGTATCAACATCCAACGCCCCTGAGCAGACCACATGTCCATCCCTTTAAAACTCCACCGCCAGTCCTCGATAAATGTAAGTCGCGATTGAGAAAACAAAGCCTATACCAGGCTTCCCGATTTGGCCCTGACCCTGTTAACCCGAGTTGTAAGTCTGATTTCTTTGATTTCTCGTGCCATCAACAACCGCAGTATCGACATTTACATGAACACGAGCAAACATCCCTTGACGCGCAATGTCACCAGAATTCTGTGATTGAGCGCCTTGGCCCGTCTGCCACTGCTTCGTCCGACTGGTGTACCGTGTCGTCCTTCCAGGACATGTCGATGTCGGTTCTCAATGAAGATAGTTCTTCCCGTGTTCGCATACAACACAAAAATAACCCCTTTTCGTCTACAAAGCACAACACAACCAACAACCCCACCAGTTTTCTCTCCCATCCCTTTAAATATTTCAACAGCCACCCCAAAAGGCCATTTTCCCACAAGTACCCTATAATGAGCATGTTCTCAACAGAAAACCTTCCAGCTAATGAGTGCAATAGTCAGCATTCCTTGCCTCTGACCGTAGCCATTCGTTCTTCCCCTCGCGACTATTTCCCTGGCGACGGCAGCAAACAAGGAGACGTCCTCCAGATGCCTGAAAGAGCTCATCTTGCAGCATTCTCCTCCACCGACCAGCTTATTCTGGATCCTCAGTTGAATTCCTCTCCTCCTTGTCTCCGAAATAGATCCTCTGGTGATGGAATTACGCTCACTACATGCAATGGCACTGGATCCTCCCACAAAAGTCAGTCACTGATATCTGAAACCAGGCTCCAGCATGGTCAGCACCCCGCAATCCCTAGATTACGCTGGCCCCTTACGCATGACAACGATAATGAAACCGCCAAAAGACGCGTTAAGTCAGCATCACGCGAAGATCTCGTTCGAGAACGTATTCGACAATTAAATGACCCCATCCTTGCTACAACTTCTCGTCAGAACAGAAGGGACCCTCCTCCGCGACCAGTCTCTGAGCGAAGTGCAATCCCTCACCGGTCCCATACCGTTACCAGTAGACTCGTCAATATCAATGAAGAACTCGAAACTGGCCAGTGGTACTGTTCAGAAAACGGACGTTACGCCTTCTCTACCCCGCCACGTCTATTCAAGATATCAACCAAATCCAGACAACGGGACAATGTTGCTGCTTCAACTTCGACGACCAGCTTTGCCCTGCAGCGGCGTGTGGGTCGGGAGGTCATCATTGGTTCAACAATTATGTTACCTTTGGGATGGCTTTTGCTAGCCTATATTGCGATGGTGGGACAAAGAGCTAATTGGCTGATAAACTGGAGATCAAGAGGAGAAGTGGCACAGTTTCATGAGAAGGATATTCGTTTTGCACGCCAGGTGTTTGGTGTGGTGTTTTTGGTGTTAATTATTATTGGCTTTGTCACAGCGACGACTGTTCTTGCGTCCAGAGATAATAAATGAAGACCATGAGATGGGGCCAAATTTACTAAGGTATCTGTACGGAGTACGGAGTATATGTCTCCCTTTATTATATTCCTAACGCTACACATAGTACTAATAGTTAAGCACTAGGACAATCTTCCACCCTCTACAAAGCCCCTTCAACCTATCTACCTGTTCTAGTCCTTTCTCTTTCATTCCATTTTCCAACATTTCTCTCGACAACGACACAGATTCTTTTCTTTGGGCTGGCCATCGCTGCATGCGTGTATTTTCATCTGAAGTCTAACCATATGTACCTTGTTAGATCATTTCAAATTCTGTATCTTTGTGTATGCTTCTCTTAACCTCGTTTCCAACCTCTTAAACTCTCTGACATTGAAATTCCTCCTCTAATATTTCACGAAAATTGCACGCTTCATTTTTTAGTCTAATTTTTTTTTTAATTACCCATTGGACTATATGGTCCTGGTTTCAATTACTATTAGTGATGTCTTATTTCCATCCCTTTTATTCCTTTTCCTCTTTTCTTCTGCTTTCTTAATCCCTTTCCATATACTCAATTCACAGATACTCGGGACTTGTCCTCTTTCTCCACCACGTTTTGTATCGGATGTTCTCCCATGTTCTTTTACATCTTTCTCTACCACATTTTAGAGTTGATTGATATTTTCATTTATCTTCCATTTGATATCAACAGGAGGTATCAGGCTATGCACGGATATGACCAGTTTGCTAGTGGAGAAAGCAAACAATTAATTGCAAGAAAACTGCCCCTTCTTTGATCGAATGCGACTGAAATGTTTGTTTTACTACTGATTGTTGTGTTTCTCCTCTCTCAAAAATTTTAATAATCCACAAAACATGCGCTAAAGAAAATGAGTCAGGAGTTGTTTCCTGAGGGGAATGAGTGTTTTCTTCTCCGATTATACCTTGTAAGGAGAGTAGTATGTCATATATGAATAAAAAACAAAGTATTATAAGAAATGACAACTCTGGTATGATAATTTTGTACAGGTGAAAAGTGTCAAAAACAACGAAAAAAAATAATGATAAATAGGCGTCGGGGTATAGAGCGATTTAAGATGAACCAAATAAGTATGAAAAAGAAACAACACCAGGATAGCAAGGAGATAGTACAGGAGGCAGAAGAATGGGGTCAGGGCAGTGAGTGAGTGGTGTGGAAGGATGAAAATGGAAAAGGAGAAATGGATACATTAGTTATGAGTGGATGGATAGCAGTCGCATATCCCGACAATACCGTGAACATATCCATGATAATCAACTTTCAACACGAATTTCTGGTTGTGGAATCCTTTAATCTTCCGTCAAGGAAATCCAGGACGTCGGAATTACTGGTTCGCGGGCGTTCCGTTCGAATATCTCGAGCTTCACGATCCCATTCGACCTTCTCTACAGCCTCTGCCGCCTCCGCTTCAACCATCGCAGTAACAGCAGCTAGCACCAGGCTCCTTCGTCGCAACCCCTGTGGTGACTTCCTAGTTGTGCGGGAACGACCGGAATGGCTAGAATTATGGGGAGAGGAGCGGGATTTCTCAACCCTGTAGGTGTTGGGAATTGAAAGCTTCGATTTCAATGTAGGTTCTGTGGATATAGAGGAGCGGCGCGAGGAACATTGACTGTGATTACTTTTATGAGGTGGGAGTTTCCGAGGTGAAGGAAGATGGGCGAGTGAACTCGGATGTCGGTCTTCTTCTGTTTCATTGAAATATGAACGATTACTTTCTTCGAGCAAAAGGGCTATTCGAACGGTATCTACAACAGTTTTGGAGGTACATTGCAAAAGGGAGAGGTTTTCTCGATGCTGGCGAAGATAAGAAAATTGTTCCTCGTCACGAGCGGCGATGGATGCGTAGGGCGACAAATATGGTATGTTGTTTTCTCTAGAGCGTGAAGTGCGACGCAACTCATTATACATGGGCATCGAAGGAGGTGACGGCTCGGCCCAAGAAGAATCATCATCCTGTTCCCGGTATTGTGAGCCCAAATGCTCTTTTCCCAACCAAATCGGGGGTGCATCGGTGCAAGCGCTGCGAGGAGGCGTAACTGGGAGAGTTGGCCCCTCATCGCTATCGCTGCCAGCCTCCTTATCCAAGCTTTGAGCATTCAGCTGTTTTGTCAAAGCCCCGATCGAAAGACGCCGTCTGTCACTGTAATTATATGGAATCGATGTAGGAGCAGGGCCAAGTTCGAAGGGCTTGAGTGATTGTCTAGGAAATAGAGAATGGTCTCTCAAATTTCGGCGTAATGGAACAGGTGAAGGAGAACGAGATGAGAAGGGCGAGATTGGGGTATTGTCAGAGGCCATTGCCATTTCTTCATCAGCTTCTGGTATTAGCGTGCCCTGATCTGTCCTCGAAGAAGAAAATGAAAAGTCTTCAAACATGGCTGCAAGAGAAGGAAATGCTGTAAAAGCTGGAAATATTCTTGCCAAACGCTTACGGGCGTGGGCTCAGTTTAAAGAAAAGACGCTCGAATGGAACAAGGATTGGATGAGAGAATTGAGCAAAATTAGCTCATGGTGTCTGAGCGGTTAGAGTCATGGGCGACTACAGGAGGCGAAAACCGAAAACAGGTGGGGCCGAATGCACAAGCCCGAAGAATGAGATATGCCAGCCATGTGTCGAGATTACCCAGAGCTGAGTGCCATGGCTATAGTTGCAGCAGAAAGAAACAACAATGAAGGGAGTGAGGATGACGTTGAAAAGAGGTTGGACGAAAGATTGAGAGGCCTCAAGGCTTGCCTGGTGATGGCCGAATACGGAAATAGTCTAGAAATATTTAAACTTTTCTCTCAGTCAGGGGAGTCAAGATTAGGTTTTGAACTAATCCGATCCAGGACTAGAGCAATTGTAGGGAACCGAGGTTGCAGTTCTCGCGTTACTGTGTCTTATATGAGTCATATCGGCCGTTTGTTTGCAGTTGGTTTGCAGTTGCATCTCAACCAATGTACTCCGTAGTCTAGCCAGGTTTGTTACGGACAAGATGCAATCAATCCTAATAGCTGCCACGTCAAACTCTACTCGAACAGGCGACCAAAATTTCCGAATCGGGGCCACCTTCGGCTGCACGGAGCCCCAGCATCCCTCACTGGTTTTCCACTTTGTTCAACGGAGACGCAAATCATGGACATTCGGGACATTTTAACAAGCTCTTGAGAGGACAAGCCCTAGATTTACGCTACGCCCACTTTTGTATCCTATTGAAACCGTGTGATTGACCTGTTAGCGTGTGCGTCGATACTGGCTTGGGCTTTTATGAGTCTCCTTCAACAAATCCTTGCCTCTCACATTCAAACATTAGGTATCATGGCTTCATGATACCTCCCATTCCTCAGTCTCTCACACCTCTCCAGTCACCGCCTCCTCCACATTCAACAATCCTGACCCTCACCCAACTGGTCCTCATTCAACTCTCAACCTCAGGCTACCCAAGCCCCTCGTTTCTACTCCGTATCCTCCACCTTCTTCCCCTCACCCCTACTGGGTGGATTCCACCTAACCCTCCGCTGTGGCCAAAATTACATAACATGGCCAGAGCTAGCCGATTGCATGCCCATACCTTGATCTTCTGCAATCGCGCCTGAGCTAGTCCCAGCATATAAAATTGCTGCAGAGGAGTATTCCAGGCGCTATGGCTAATTATGGGTTGCATCAGGCAGCGCTGAATAATACAAATCCAGGGGTTTGGATAGATATGTCACGATCACAATCGAAATCGGAACACCAAGGAAACTGAGAATGTAACAAAGACAGAACACTACGCAAAAAATATTGTAGCAGTAGGTGTACATATGTTCTGTAATGTAAGTGAATATGGCATTGGGTTGAATGCGAGAGGGGGGGGGAACTAATGCCATTTTCTCCGTTAGATCATTGCAGGTGGATTCAAAGCGAGGGCGGTGACCAGTATGATTGATTATGAGGTGAAATTTGATGAGAATACTGGTGATGTCATGATGAGAGGTGTTGCAGAGAGGTTTGTGAATACATGAAACAGATTCATAATATTCGAACTGGAGTGGGTATGGAGGAGGCTTATGGCATTGAGCATTGGGATACACTTAGAAATATCACGGGACAGGAACAGGAGAGTTCCCATACTGCTATTCAGGAACAAAAATTGGCTTTGGATTGAGCCTTATAGCACTTTCTTTTTGGCTTTAGATGGAGCGTTCAACAGCGATGTGCGGTGAAGATTTTCCTGAGTGGCAGAATGTATGATCTTGAGCATAGGAGTTGCGCTGCTTGTTGATCTTTGCAGATATGTTAAATATCACAAGAACAGGATTGTATCCCGTTCCCACAGAAAGATGCGGTGTTTGCTTCCACGTTAACCGCCTGCTAGACAGGCTGGCCTGTTCAAACCGCATCTAAGGAAATCTGGACTTGTTTCTACCATTAGATTTGGATTGGCTTGCTATTTACGTCCGCCACAAACAATGACAGAAGCAGTCTTATTTCCCTGGATTTTCGCTTTGGTTATGACCTATCAACACTTGTCTCTTCAACAAAATGTCTCCTCTACTATTTAGTAGGGGAATTATCTGCCAGCTCAGCGTGGTTCCCTCTAAATACTGACCACCACCTTCTTTCCCGGTGTACGCTTTGAAGTTTCAAGAGCGGCCTGAATAGCTCCAAGCCCTTTTCCGGCGATCAATGGATCGGGTGCTATCCGGTACTTCCCAGCCTTAAGGGCATCTGGTAAGAAATCTTCATAGACCATTCTTCCTACGTTCTTTTTTTCATCTTCATCCTCTAACCCCCGAATACTGACTGCTAGGATGGCGTTCCCTGTCACACCTGGAGGCAACCAGGAATCTTCAAAGTCATCGATCGTCGAGACTACAGTTTTAACCCCATCGATCTGTGAGACTGCTTCAGCAGTCTGCTTAAACGTCTTTTCCCTTCCAATCGTATCCAGGGCACCAGCCAGCTTCCTGCCTCGAAATGCCTCCTTTAACTTTTCGATGACGGACCCGTCGTTATAATCCACCGCCCAATCTGCGCCCAATCGCTTCACGGCTTCGAAGTTTTTAGACGATGCGGTCACAATGACATCGCACCCAGCAGCCACTGCTAACTGTATAGCATTGCTACCAACGCTACTCGTTCCTCCCCAAATTAGAACAGTTGTAGATGTCTTGACAGGGTTCAAACTGGGCTTGGGAAGCATTAAGCCGTCCTCGTGAAACAATGCCGCCGATGCGGTGGACAGTCCCAAAGGAAGTACAGCTGCACTTTCAAAAGATAGGGATGGCGGAATAGGCGATGCCATGTTTGAAAGGAGAACAGTGTAATTTTGGAATCCTGCGTGGCGTTCATCCTCCGTTGCAAAACTTAGGGCGTGGCCGAGGACTCGATCGCCATATGGAATCGGGTAACGCCGCTGCCCACGTCGACTACTTCACCCGCAACATCAACACCCAAAACCAACGGGTACTTGAACATAACCCAAGGCATGTCCTGCATTTTCCAGTCGAGCTGGTTAATGGCAACTGCGGCATTCTTGACCACGATTTCATTTTCATCCGGATACCTATCTTCAGTTTCACCGACCCAAAGCGGTTTTCTTTTGTGTCCAACAAGGAAAGCCGCATAGTTGATAGACATGTTTTTGGTTAGGTTGGGGGAAACAAACTCGTCGTACGCAGAATTCTTTCACAAAAACGCGTGGATTGGTGACGCACTTTGAGGTTTTCGCGATATTTCGCTACCGCAACTCTGCACATTGACGTCTTATTTTGAGTATAAATTTCTATGCCAGCGAATTCCGATTTTTCGACATCCCCGGCCTAATTTCAGTTGGGCGTAAATTAGGAGAAAATCGTGCTGCTTGCCATCTTCAGCAGCTATACCTCGTAAGGCAAGGAGAGGTCGTGGGTAACCTCCTCCGTGGAGAGTTAGAAGGAGGTGGAAATAACAAGCATAAATCCCAGTCTTGTCACTTTGAAACGAAGCTCACTTGCATACGGAATCCATTTTCTGCTAATCAACCTTGCAAACAACTGCCAGACTTTTCATTCCCTAGCCTACGTTGCACTGATATGGTCTGAAGGCGTTTCCCAGTCAGTTGTGTTTGGGATGCTTCAGAAGACTAAAAAAATTTCGCTTGATGCATTATTGCATGTCAAATGCTCATTCGCCCGAAGGGATTCTAAGCAGAGGACCTCATTCGAGCTTCCTACAAGCCTTCGAAACGTCATTATTAGCGATGCCTCAAGATTCCTTATGGATTAATATATTATCCCTAGTCGTTATGGCTAGCTGCCTAGCCCAAGGAGTTCAGGAATCTAATCATTGTTACTTTGCAGAGCCAGTCCACCGTTTTCTAAACGCTTAACCTTTAGATCAATACCAAATTCATACTCAGCTTTGCGAGGCGTACCCCATGCGTTAAAAGTGGCCTCCCATACACTATAGGACAGTTTACCAAATATTCTTTGCGCAAGACAACTAAACGCTACCAAAATGTCGATCTGGACGGCTGCTCAAAACGGGAGGCTGACGGAAGGGGTGCTTCAGGATTTCCTGGAGAGGGACCCTGATCTTCTGAACCGTGAAGACGGATCGGGAATCACTCCACTTGGGTATGCCCTGCTGAATGGAAAGGCGCGTGCGGTAAAGTGCCTCCTGGACAACGGTGCCGATCCAGACAAGCCTATGGGAGAAACGACGACCTTCCGTGATGGCAGAACGCCTATGTATCTCGCCACCATAGCAAACCCGCCCAGTCCGCGCATTGTCCAGCTTCTTCTTGAGAAGAAGCCGGCGACCTTCGACAAACCCATCTCAGCATCTAAGAACCAAACCCCGTTGATAGCCGCCATTGCTGGGAAATCGAATCCCGAAATTGTCAAGTTACTCATCAACGCGGGCGCGTCGCCGGAGGCACGAGACGATGACGGCAAAACTGCTCGCGATCTTGCAGATGCGCTTTCGGACTTCGCGTCCAAACAGAAAATCAAAGATGCACTTGAGCCAACGCTACGAAAAGGAGGAGGCAGAGGCGGCCTTCGGAGCTATATGACCAACTGGGTGGCCCGAGTACTCGGGAAGTCCAGATCCTGGAGGGCCCTTGGTTTCATCTTCAAGTCTGCTTCCCGGTATTTCCTCAACATTGCCCCATCGGCAAGCTTCCACCCTGAGGTAAGACAGGCAGCCAATTTGAAAAAAGTTTCCGATCCGCCGACTAACCTTGGGGTTTTATAGGAGGAGCTTGAGACGGAAAAACTTGAAACTGCAGAAGACTTCAAAAATAGTCTGGACAATATAGTCAATGATGACGGCCTCGGGAGATTTTTCCCCCCTGGAAATACATATGTCAAGGAAGTAGCAGAGAAAACCGCTTCTCTTAAGGATGACCCAAATAATCTGCTAAACTCACCCAGTCAGCTCAAGGGTCTTGCTACCATCGCCCTTTATCAACCCATCATCTATTGCGGTAAGTATTCAATATTCGTTCATTATCATATGGGGTAGAACTAGAAACTAAACGTAAACATATCCAAGATGACAGCGGCTCCATGAGGGGAGAGCTCTGGGAAAAGCAAGCGGAACTCGTCAAGCGCATCACTAGTATTTCAACGCGTGCAGATCCAAACAACAGAGGGCTTTATTTTCGCTTGATCAATGAGGATCTCAGTTTCGCTGACAATCTTGATGGCGATGCGATACTCCAGACGCTCGGAAAAATTGTGCCACGTGGGAATACACAACTTGGAACACAACTTCGCAAGAGAATTCTTGATCCGATCATTCGCAAACCTCTATACGTTGGCACGCCGTTGGAACGGCCATATCTAATAATGATTATTACCGATGGATGCCCAACCCTTGAGCCGAGCGATCAACTACGTAACGTGATACTGGAATGCAGTCAATTTCTTGGGGATAAAGGTTATAGAAAAGATGGTAAACAATTTAAACATTCTATCTATGCTTCCTGTCACGCCCAATATGCACCAACCACTGACATTTACACAGCGGTCCGATTCTGTCTCAGTCAAATCGGACAGAATCAAGAGGCAAGAGATTTTATGGACAAACTAGTGATGGATAGTGAAGTTTTGAAGGTTCTTCATCGAACAGTCGGTGAGCGCTCAACTCATATTCTTTTAAGTCTTCATTTATGTATAGAAGAAATAGCTAAGACATTGAACAACTCTTACAAATCACGAATTAGAACTTGTTGACACAAGGTACGATGAACTTAGACAGAACGAAGCGGAACTGGAAGATTGGGTGGGTGCTCCTACCACTTCAATTCCAGTTTGATAGATTTGACACTAATATTTTCCTAGCTACTCTCGATGCTGCTCTCTCCAGTGCAGGCCTTGAATGCCGAATAAGGCATCCAACGGTTGGCTTGTAAGAAACTATAGCTTGGGGTTATTTGTCAGTGTTGGAGGCTTACTTTCCGGGCGCAGGACTAGAGCTTGCGATTGTCTAATTGCCTGGAAACATTAGCGTACGTATGGTAGCTTATGAAATTATATTGAAAGAGAAAAGTATCAAATGAGTACGAGATTTCCTCAATGAGGTTGGTCTATAAGCAAAGCCTTTACTTCGTCCTCACAACGGGTTCCGGAAAGTGGATATTTGGAGCCTACAAAAGTTAATTATTTATTGGCTATATGGCCCAAGGTTTTCAAATCGTAACATCAGCTTAGGTTGTAGAACGCTTCACCATGAGAACCATCTGATATATCAATCTGTAGCCAAAGAGATGTATCATCATGTTTGCGGAATTGATTGATATTGTGTGTAGAAGCCAGTCGGGCTTGGGCACTGAGGATATCTCCGCAAGTAATATTCCGACCTATCCTGGCGAACAAAGGTCCGGAACGTATGAATGCCCAAGCTAATGTATGAGCAAGCAGATATATCTGCATGACTACACTGTCATTTACATATGACTTTCATGCCCAACGCGAAGAAAGGGTGTGGGGGATTTCAGAAAACAGGGTATTTGGAGAATATCAAGCGATACAGAGTCTTCCATATGCCCTCCCAACTTTCCGTTGAATCCGGTAAAATCGCCTCATTTATACTCCGTTGAAGCTTCAAAGAGCAGTGTTGGCGTAATTTATATCAGTTTATAGCGCTCCCGCAGTGCATATCCCACTTCCACGAGCCAAACTTCCATTATCATTCAAAAGAGGACATAGTAGCAAAACTCTATGACCTGTCACCGAAAATGACTCTCCACGCCGATGCCGCCGCCGGAGTGCTGACAAGTACGACATTGATCTCCTATCTCAACAAAACAGATATCAATGAGCAGTGCAAAGAAAAGGGAAAGGGAATCATTGGCTTGACCGCACTTGCTTTAGCAGCAAAGAACGGACATGTTGAGGTCGTCCGGCTCCTCCTCAATCATGGCGCACAAGTCGATGCGAACTCAAGCCAAAACCGAACTCCCCTGTGGATTGTGACCACCCAGGGACGCGGCTCGCGTAGGGCCGAAGTCGTCGAACTCTTGCTACAGCGCGGGGCCAACGCTAGATTCTCTCACCCCGAGCTTGACGGAGGTTCAAAACCACTTGAAAATGAGTTGCTGAACGTTAAGGATCCAGATGTAATCCAACTGCTAGTAGAAGCAAAAGGTACCACGGCGAAGTCTGAGAAACTCGCAGCGGCAGCCTCAAATCCTGAAATAAACGACGCCATGGTCTCTACCCTAAAACGAAGAAAGCTGCGCGCTGCCAGCGTCAACCTCGTCACAGCGTTTCTGGTCTTCATCCTTACTGTGATTGACAATACTGCAGTCACCAGACTGGTGCTCAAAATCTTCGCCGCTACTCAAAAAAGCGACATCAACCCTGCACCCCTTGAAGAGCAGCTATCAAGCTCTTACGGAAATGTGGGTAATGTCGGACTGGTTGGGCTTGACTAAGATATCCATGGAGGGCGGATGATGCTTTGAGTCGGATTTTCTTTATACACCGAGACAAGACCAAGAACTACAACTCTGGGATATTTCGTGACGATCCTGTGAACCTCTTTAGTTAGCTTCCAGATAAGAATTGTTCCAACTTGAAATTAGAGCGCAAAATTGATGAGAAATTGTGTCGAGAATCTCTGTATCAACCACATCCACTTGCGCACTCACCTTGAATTGGTAAAAGTACGCTGTTTTCGGAGCTGGATAATGTCCGGATATTGACTCAAATACTGATAGTCAATTCAATATTCTATCGATATTCAGTATTTGGGTCAATATTCCGACATTATCCAGCTCCGACAGCTATATAGTTAGGATATTAGCTGAGCAATCCAGTAAAATTCTCCGATGCAGGGTGATTTGAGAAGGGAGTTACAGAGTAAAACCAATTGTAGGGGTAATGTGTTTCCAGGCGATATAACCAATATCCAAACGTCCAATGCCAGATCAAACCCAATCGGACAGCGTTGGAACGAGGTTCGAATACAAGGACGTGGATACTCCACAAAACTCTTTGCCCACACGCCACTGGCCAATATCTGTCCACCAAATAAATGAGACGAGAATTCTTATCTCCATTATGCAAAATATTGTGCGTTGTTGAGCCTTTGTGGATCCACCAAAAGGCTTGGGCAGGTCTCATGAAAACTGGGCGGCAAGCGAAAGTGCTCATGAATACCGTGAACCTTGCAAAGTCGAAGTTTTGCGATCCGATTCCTTGAGTAACTTAAGCCAGTCAGTGCCACCCCACTTCAAGGAAAATGTTATTCTATAACCCCAGTAATTGTAAACTTGACCGTTCTCCCAAGCCAAGAACTCAACAACACACAAATGGAGGTTGGATATCGATGAGAGAAACAAGCCGATATGCATGCAAACTCCTTTCATGAGTGGGGCGCGCGCTGCATACACTGCCTACTCGTTCATGCACGTCCATCTTCGTATTTGTTACCTCTCTCAGAGAACATTTTTTATGTCTATTGTGGTGTTTCATGGATGTTTGCGTTATTTTATGATGCAATTTTATGGTATGATTAAATAGACTACCTGCTAAAGCAGGTCGCTGGAGATAAATGCGCACCTCCACATACGTTCCATACCATCGACGACGTTGTTGCTGGCATATGCATATGCGAAGAAAGTGAGGACTGCACCATCCAAGGCAGATACTACTCACCCGGAGAAACAGAGAAAGTTTATTAGGGGCTAGGAGGTTTGATCACTCACTGGATCATGCTGGTTTGCTTGTATGTCGTCACTGTAATGTCATTTGCTAACGCCGGGGCTTTGTTGTTCGAAGTCCAGTATCTGACATGAGTGATGTTACCGCTTTTGATAGTTCGTTCCACCGCCTGAATTTTCCTTCCATCAACATAAACTACAAAATCATCAGCCTCAACATCCACCCTGATGCACGGGTTGTCATTTTGGAACCATTGCGATTGTGGGAGCTGGAGATCCGTAAGTGCGCTAAAACCGCGGCCAGCGTGCTTGCTGGTGTAGGAAAGAAGGTTACGTCGGCTGTTGATTATTATGCAGAGTAGAATATCGTACGATTCATGGTTATTGGCATTGCTGGATCCAGGGTCCACGTTCGCAAGTGAAATTCCCGTGAGGTTTTCTCTCCTTGGAATATCAGGGTTCAGGTGTGATGACGATATAACGAGGGATCCGCCGACGGGAACGGCTTCCTCAAGCTGAGTAATATTGTCGAAAGAAACGTGGTTTGTAATCCCACCACTAAATAAAAAAAGGGATTAGATGGGGGATTGGAGGGACAGGCGATAGGTATTATGGAAGCTTACGATATTGTGGCTGGAACACTGGCGATCTCTGCATCAATTCCAAGCGACGGAATCGTCTCGGGATCATCAAATCTCGTTATAATACTGGGATCATTGGAGTACCTCATTCTAGTCCGTGAAACGGAAATTTTGAGGTTCATAGTTGGCTTCCATCTCTCTTCAGGAACGGTATTCCCAGCCTGTTTGCTCTCAACAGTCAGATTCGAGCCATCTATAACATTTGGCACGTGGACTGACCATAGTGATCCTATAATACATCCCTGAGAGAAAGTGTTCAATATTGGCCGGTTCAAGATTCTGCAACAGTTGCTGTTCAATTTTTTTGATCAGGTATGGCGTGATAGGAATATAAGCGATGACATGTACGTCTTGCTCCTCCAGATTGCTGCAGTTGGAGCAAACTGTGTCGCCATTTTGCTCCGCTGGCTGACTGAAGTTGTAAACACTGGTGACAAAATCCTCTTGCCGAAATGTATTTTCTGTCTCATTTTCTGACCGCAGATAAACCTCGAGATTGAACGGATGGCCGCCCATCGCAAACCTGGCTGATTTAGCTGCGAGAAACTGAAAGGACAAATATTGAGAATACTCACTTTGAGTATCTGATGCTCACAGCGTAGTCATTCAATGACACGCCGTTATCCTCAACATCTACCACACCTAGTAGTTCGCTGTCAGGTTTAGCTATTTCTATGGCTTCTTTCCTTAAAACACCATACATATCGTTCATGTCTCGAAACAGTTCATCTTTGTAGTCATCGCCATATTTCCAGCGCTGTAGTTCTGGGTATGTATATCCTAACTTGAACCAATCACGAACACCATCTGGTGTCCAGACAGTCCCTTGTTCATCCATGTGAAAGGGCCTGAGCGGTGCCTTGGAGGTGACGATATTGCCCATTCCGATTATCTTTTGATCGAAATGGTCTTGTTTTGTCTGCCGTAAACCACTTTACTGGATTCAGAGTTTGCCAGATTGCGAACAGGCGATCGAGAAAACTGTAACTCAAAAGATATTCGCAATCAGTACTAGTAACAAGCCTAGAAAGAAAATCCACAAGCATGCCTTACCAATGATGGAACCAAAATATGGGATCGAAAGTCGCAACCGGTATCTGAGACATATGGCCTCCATCTCCGCCAACCCAGTAGTGAATGTTGTTGTGGATGAATTCTATATTCATGTCGTTGATGACTTTTGATGCGCTTGAAGAATCCATGGTAGCATCTCTCGCAGTGGTTGCGAAGCTCACGAAATCCAGCGGGTAGGTGAGAAGTCTGTACACCATCTCCGTAGTCTTGCCGTAATCGAAATCTGTGATTGATTTACGATCGAAGATGAATTTGTTTGCTGTTTTATTGTTGACAACGCCATCTCTCCATGCATTACTGGTACTCACACGTTCTGATGGCGTCGGACAGCGGCTGGTTGCGCAACACTCCCCGTACTTGACGAGTGCACCGCAATGTTAGTTGATCTGGACATGAAAATAGTGACACTCATCGAGACGCGTACCTCTAGCGTATCCTCAAAGTCGGGGGATTTGAGGGTTCCTACGCCGTAGACCCTCATTTTCTCTCCCTTTGGCATTTTGAATTTGTAGAGCGGATTATCTACGGTCATTGCGGGGAACCTGAGCTGAATCCTTTTAAAACACATAAGTTTCGGTATCTGCGGATTTTTCGCCCAGTCCCAGAATGGGAGCCTCCAGTGAAAGGCGGCTTCTTGCCACTCATCCTCTGCTCTCTCACGAAGTCTCAAGCCTGGGATGATAACATCGACCATTATTTCGTATATACGTTGCTATTTGATCTCGTAAGCATGTGTGAGAAATATCAGGTCGACGTTCTAATCACGTAAATACCTCGTAGAGTGACAGATACGGCCGATGCCATATAGGAAATAGGCTATTCGCATGCACGCAATAACCCTTTCTGTGAGTCTCCTGAACAGTAAGGCCGTGTTCATCCCAGGATTTGTATGGCATGCCATGAATACCTGGGAAAAAATTAGGTATGAGTGCGAAAATAGGATTGAAATTCATTGTCGGCTTGAACCCACCTGCAATTTGGAAATATGAATCTCTCGAGTCTGGGGGAGTAGCTTGGAACTCCCTGAGGGCGAGGATAAATAGAACAACCTGTATTTGATCTCTGCGTTCTTGACTCTCACTCCATTCGTTAAAATCTCGTCTAATGGGCACCTGGCTGCCCGGACCTAAGCCTTTCTGAACGCCTTGGATGGGATAGTACTTATAAGCCATCGTAGTCGATGTTATATAGAACCTTCTTGCTGCATGGGAGACGACAGATGTCTATAGAAAATGGACAGTTTCCCCCAAAGTTTATGTTTGTGGATGCTGAATCGCTTATTTTATATATTCTCGACATTTTGATTGACCATTTGCGATTCGTTGCTGTTATCAAATTGTGGTGTTGGTCGTTGTTAATTTTAAAACAATTTATCACTCTTAGTTATTTTCAAACTATGTGACACGACACCCTTAGGCTAGTTGGTTATAATTTTCAATTTCGTAATTTCCATCATTTTCAAAAGGATTGTTAATACCACCCTCCCTCCATTGGCACTTGAATCGAGCAATGCAATCACTAGAACTGAGGGAATAAATAGTATCTCTTGTGGCGATGTCATACGTTGACGACCTTAGGTCAACATATCTACAAATCTATGTAATATATGAATATATAATTATATATATATAAGTATTGGACTATCAAATAGTAGTTTTATTTTAAAAAATTCAGTTCATTTGCATCCTGGTAAACAGAGAATAATATGGAAAAGAGGCCCTAGTTCGGTTTCGGTTACGGGAACATTGAAACATTCACCAAGGCCCTGAAAGCAAACTGCTCCCATAAACTATAAGCCCGAATCACGGCGTAAATACGATGTCCCTGTCCCATATCGAGATTCAGATCCTTCAACCTCCAACAATAGTCAGACGAATTGAGCGGTGCCAAATTCAGTCCCCCCTCTTCACTCTTTCCCTGGCAACACATAACGCGTCTGCCGATGAATTTGAATTTGTCGGAGTTCGCAACGAGTGGCTGGAAATAGGCGCCACGGTTCCAAGTCCTGTTACCATTTCCGAGTTCCTTGCCAGCAGTAACGGCCTTTGTGCTAACTTGTTGGTAGAATGGCTTAGCGACCGAGACAGATTCATCGTTGGCCTGAGTACACACTGTCGGAACCTCAGGAATACCTTGAACTCGCTGGGAAGCATGGAAAACATCGACTTCGACTATGCACCAGGCCCAAGTGCTGTGGGTGAATGTGGTCAAGTGGATTTCAGAGATCCGCTGTGTGGATGCAAAATTCGGGTTGATCTCTTGTATGTGTTGGCCGGCCCAGATCAGCCTCCACTGGTGTTGCCATCTCCCATCGTATATCGAATCAACGCGCATGGTATTTTTGTTGTTTGTCTGAGAACCACCTTCCCCACGACCATTGGGTGAGCTATCGGTTTCAGGGGTTGTCGTTGGGTTACTAGTTCCATTACCTCCTGCTGGGTTCCTGTTGTCAGATCCGCCGGATGGAGCACTTGATCCAGTTCCAGCGCCTAGCTTGTTCGCTTGAGGAGGTTTCGAACTCGTGTCTGAATCTATCTGGTTCAGTGAATGGAGACAAAAAGGAAGGAAGAAAGCACCGCCGACCTCTACTTACTTCTATTCAAGGTCTCATTTGCTGTGGGAACTTTTCCAACATCTTGAACAGGAAGATATTGAAGCAGTTCTCTTGCGTATCCGGCAGCAGTAGCAGCGGCGTATGGCTGCCACTGGTCATTCTTATGCGAATCTGCGTAGTCACACAGTCCGCGGATCACGAGGCAGGGAAATTTGTCCATAAGTCCCGCAGCTTCCATTTCAAAACAGATGCATTCTTCCTCGCTGTTTTCCAGTAGTTTCTCCCTTGCTCTACCACTTTTGATCAGCGTGTTTCCCGATGCGATCAATCGCGTAATGGATACGTGGCTTGTCCGGATCTCTGGATTCGTGTGTAGAAG